AATTGAGGCAAATAACAACAAAAATTTTGAGGAAAAAGAACCACCCCTTTCAACCGGCCTTTCTATGGGCTTGCTTGGTAATTTAGATTAGATCTAAATTAGTAATGTACATTCATATTGAAATACAGTAATGCTTTGTGTTTACAGGTGACAGGTTTGCTGGGGAAGATGGAACAGTTGCGGAGTTTTCCACTTCATGCTAATATCAGCTCAACATTGGACAGGCATCTTGAGGTCATCTACATCACTCAGGCACGCCGCAAGGAGGAATTCATCAATGCTAGCAACAGACAGAGGCAGCCGGCGGCCTTCTTTAGAGAGGACAGGGGTTAGTGAGTCACGCTTTAACATCAGCTCAGGCAGCAAGTACACATCTATAAACGAATGAATCAGTGGCAATCCACAATCATAGGATAAGTGAAGTTTGTCCTTGTCAAGATGATCAAATGCTTCTATAGTTTTTTATTTGTAGATTACAAATATGTTGATAGACACTGAATGGTTTTCCTGAGGTAAATATGTTGTTACATGGCAATTTTTGAGCTGCTTTAGTGATGTTTTTGGAAATCATGATACCTATATTTCAGTACTGTTTTTTATGTATACCATCTGATGTTAATACATAATGCAAAATCAAACCATGCCAATTAAAAATAGATCTTTTTTTTCCTTAGAATGCAAAATTGCCCACTATACTTTGTGTGTATGTGTAAAAAGGATGTTTCGAACTTCTGGTCGGCAGCTGATGCGTATAAAGAGTCACTTTGGGACAGCTTTAAAAGGAGTTTTAAATCTATTTTATTTGATTTTAATGTCTTTCAACTAATACTGTTGTTGATCAGCGCCACCTTCTGGACTGATCATTATAAAAAATGCAATCTAATGGGATGGAAAACAACTGCTGCAAGGTATTTTTCCCTCCTTGTCAGACGGCATCTTGTGCCATTTAAATGGAGCATCGCCATCTTTAAAGTCAACATTTTGTCTTATATAACCAACCTAAACAAATGAAATACACCAAAATGTGACACACATAGCCTGTACTGTCCCACTAACACATTGATTGAATAAGTGTCACAAAGTGAAAATAAAGTGCCATTTTGAAATGACAGAAAAACACATGGTAAATACTACACAACACAAACTAACTAAATGGAACATAACTGAATCAACATGCACATCGGCCAGAAGAGTATCAGTCATGTACTTTTATTGGTAATTGATTTTTTACCATTTTTGGAAATTGCATGGCTTGCATACCTGCTAATTTCATGCCAGTAATATGGTTTGCTCTTTATAATGCAGTGAAGCATAGTTTGTGTGTGTGCTTGGATTGAAGAGCCGCAGAGTACAGTAAACCAGCTGACAGGTCCAGAACACTGACGCTGTATTTAAGCATCTGATCTGGCCGCAGATTCTGAATTAGGAGACGGTTTTTCTTTCTCACTTGAATCGCATCTGACTTAAGCATAACAGCGTTAACATGTCTTTCATTCAGTATTAAAGTTTTGCATCACAAGCACACTCCTTAAGCCTCTGAAAACAGTATTGACACTTGGTTGAGAACACTGCTCTGGTTGATGACAGTTCTTAACGGAAGTTCTAAGCATCCTACCGTAAGGAGCTGGTCACTATGGCACCCTCCAAGCAGCAGCAAAGAAAAAGGTCTATACGTTGTTAATCTACTAGTGTCCGTTTTTATCTTAAAAAAAAAAAAAAAAAAAGGTTTGGTGAAAATTTCACTAGTCCAAAGTAACACAACAAGCTCAGCATTGTTTCGCCACTTATTGACAGATCATTTGCTTAGTTAAGATGAATGTTCTGTTAAAAATGATAAATGTATTATGACATTATGCCTCAGTGTTTATTGATACTGTTTTGCCTCGAGGTTAAAAAAAAACATGTGTCTTATCAAAGCATTTCTTTTGTTTCTTAAATCTCACAGAGATTCTTATGTTGGCATCTGCAGTGAAAGACCTGTGCATCAGCACCAGAAAGGCCAGAACTGCTCTTTGGTGTGCATTACAAATGACTTTGCCCAAAACAAGCAGTTACCAAGAGGAGGAACTTGACAAAGGTACTTGCTCCCCTTTAGGCCCAGACAGTCCTGAGCAGTGCAGGTTGGAGAGATCACAGACTACCCTGTGATGCCTTTCTGACAGGTATATGGTGTTTGTACGTTTTTTTTCCAAAAAAGTACATTCATCTAAAAGGTGATGAGGTTGCATTTTAAGAGGAATGAATAAGTTATTTAAGTTATTCCACTATAGTGACACATTAGGCTCAGTTGTGGGCAGCAGATGGAATTCTTAGTTCATTAATATTTATCAGTCTACTGTGGAAAGGACCAATCAGATTCTCCAAAAACATGGAATTATGGCAGTAAGATCAGTATTGAGGTATTTGTCCAAGGATCCCAGAAAAAAACTGCCAGTTAGAACAAAATGATTTGAGAGAGATAGCATAAGATTGATTTAAGAAGAAAGAGTAAGAGAGATGAATTCACAAGAGGGAACTTTTAACTGTTGATAATGAAACCAAATGTGTGGCAAGAGTAAAATCTGTGGCTTTGGAAGATAATATTTTTGCCTCAGAAATGTCAATTGAGAAATATATAAATAGTTACATAGGAAACAATTATTTGCGTTAAAGGTCTTTTGACAGTTTAATTAGTGTCTCCTACAATCTACGATCCTCAGCACATTTTAGGCATTCACAAAAACAGTATTTATGACCAGTAGGACATGTTCGCGTTGTCCTGGCCTTATTTATTTGAGCAAGATTTTCTTGGCGTCAGCACTTGTTTTTAGTGATCTTACTGGATAAGCAATAACAACCCCAAATCATTACATAAATCTGTCGTTTGTTTTAGGGAAAAACTGAATGTGAGTTTATTTATTCACCGTTTGTTTATCTAAATTCTGAATTTAGCTCAAGTTTCCAGTCGCCATTTTTCAGTGTATGTATGTGGTCAATCTGTCTGTGGTGTAACTCTTTTGAGGATCTGCGGAGTAGCTGAGAGTACCATCATTCATGGACTGACATAAATGATGTAAATGACATGTTTAAAGGCTAACATTGTTCATATGATGTGTACTCATACTGTATCGTTTCATTGCTTTTGTTCAAGTTTTCCAATTAAACTAACAGCAGTAAATCCCTTAACTCAAAGACTGGTGCTTAACATACAGTGTTAATCAATGCTAAATCAGCATTTCTGCAGTATATTTTACTCATTATTCATTCAATAATGCATGTTTTAAATGTTCATGATGAAGCCCTCAACTAAAGTTCATGAGATTTTAACAGATTTATGTGTTGAACAACAATTAAGGAAATATTAGCATCTGTTAGTTTTAATTTCAATGAAAAAAAAAATCTTTTTTTTTTTAGCTTTGCCTCTAATTCCACCTGTGTTAAGAATTATATTAGGGGTGACATCATTGGTGGTGATATAGCATAGATCTTAAGAAAAGATGCTTTTAAAGTATTTGGTCAGACTGTGTGACCGCACAGTAGGTGTTCATGATGGGTTGTGGCACTGGTAGTGTTGTCAGAATTACCAACTCTGGTACAAGTTTATTCTGAAATGTAAAAATGTGACGATAGCAGCATTTTGATTGCTACAGGTGTTTGTCATATGTTCATGCATTCATCAGATATAACTGTGAATAGCTCTAATGTTTATAGGTTTACAAGAATGCTTACACTTGATGTACAGACACTGAAGCATTTAGCCATGTTTTTCATCACTCATATCTGTTTACAGGCAGATCCTCTGATTGACACAAATTTCAAAAGTAAAGTAGGTATGTGTCTAAATATTAAAACAGGTGTTCATGAAATATAAAAATCTTGCATTTATCTATCAGAATAAAATAAGACTAATTTTATAGTATAAATTTCCCAAAAATAGAAAAAAAAATTCCTTTCTTTAAACAATGTCTACCATATTAAAAAAAAAATCCTGCAGCAAATATTTTTTAAAAAAGGTTGAAAGAAATAAAATAAATGTTTAATATGGCCTAAGTTATATCTTAAAATGTTTAGCGTATCATATTAATAACATAGTGCAACTTTCACACTGTGGAAAAAGTTCAGGAACTCTGTTTACGCAAACTAAAACCTAGCAAATGTTAATTACATAGGTTTCGCCAAAGACTATGAATAGACTGGTTTTACCTATGTTGTTCTGTGTGATGATGGGTGAAGATATTTAACTAGATATCAAAACAGAAACAAAATCTTGACGGGGTAAGTTTGTTTTAAGACTATTTAAGGCCAAATTTTTATACTATTGATTTAAGACTTTTTAAAGATCTGCAGATATCCTGATTTATGTCTTGTTTTAAGGTAGAAAATAATGTAAGAGATAAGCAAAAGAATGTTTTTATAGATGATCACAGAATTGAACAACAGTTTCACTAATCAAAAGTATTCAAGAGCCAGAGCTCTTATTGCATGAATAGTTTTTACAAGCAGTGATACTGATAACAAATATTTAGACGCTGTACTGTTTTAAGTCATGCGTATATGTAAAGATGTTTGAAAAAGGTATACATCAATGGTTTCATATTCAAAGGAGAGGTAGTTTAATTACACTAGTTTGCTTATGAAGTATATTTGACACTAAAAACTATTTAGCTCATGTTAAGAGACTATAGTTTGAATTATTCCCCCTTATTTGCATGACATGCTGAGAGCAATGTATAAAAATTTATTCTGGCATTTATCCTCAACGTTGAATTGCATTTATTTGATGCATCCTAGAATGTAAGAAAAGCCCCATGGAATTGCATGTAAAATAACATCCTTTTGATTTCATGTAGTTTAAACAGAGTCCTAAGTCTTTCATATAAAAACACAGGCTTTCACGGACAAACCACGATCCTCGTTGGCGGTCACTGATTCATAAACAACAATTCATTCATGTTTATTCATAAGGATAACTCCTTGTCACTTGGTCAAAAGTGAACACACAATTTATTGTACCAGTGTTCGGATGTTTTAGCATACAAAATGTTAAATATCGAAGTTCTGATAGTAAAAATCTTAAACCACTTGATCGTATAAGCTACTAGACAAGTTTAAGAGATATCACTTTGCCTACAGTGCAGCCCATTGTAGTATATGTAAAGGCAGTCTACAAGGTATTGGCACAAAATGTAGCAGCTTCATACAAACAGTTGTCAATTCATATATATGCACACAAACATACCCTTATAGAAGTTCACTGCCCTATAACAAAAATACAGAAATGTCTAACAAGAGCTGTTTGTTGACACCAATGAACTTTAAACAAACTACACATGTCCCCATTTAGCAATGATTAGCAGTTGTGATTATGTCTTTGGGTCGTCTCTTAGCCCTCTCCATATATTGCTACACAACAAGAAGGCTTCTATTGGTTTTATGTTATTGTGAAAAAGCTTGTGAGCTCAATAAATATATCTTTGTATCTTGAGTTAGCATGTATTAAATGGAGAGAGAGAGATACATGTTCACTGACTATTTAAAAAAAAACACAGGGCAATAATAAAGAGATTTTAGACAATGTGTTGATTATCTGCTGGTAACAATTTAAGAGTGAATCTTACAGAAAACATGTAAAAGTCACATCTTTACACCATAAACATTTTAACAAATAAAATTAAAACTTAGGCCAAGCACTGCAGTAGTGAGATTTATGGTAAAATGTTCATAAAGCTAAATATTATTTTAGATGTCGGGTTAAAATGTGACTTGAACATGTTTTTGATCTGCTAGAGATTTTGTCATTAAAGGGTTAGTTTATCAAAAAATTCAAATGATATATTTACTCATCTACAATATGTAACAAATTGTTAATATTTAGAATGCAAATGAGGATTTCTGTCCATCCACTGCAAATCTGTTCAACCAAAACTCTTAACTCTTCAAAATGAGATGAAATGTGAAATCTGTATTGGTCACAGTCACTTCATATAATTAACAGACTTAAACTGAAGCTTTCATTCATTTACAAATACTGCATTTAAATTTGGTCACGGAAGCTCAATCATGTTTGCAAGAACCCATGAGGTTTGTTCTTGTGGGTCAAGCAGTTGTTGTTGTAATAATAAATCCTAAATTTAAGCTAGCAAGTAATTATGTCTCCTCTGAAGAGTTTGATTCATATGAATTTTTGTTACAAACTTTATAAAGCTTCAGGGTTTTAATTCACTGTAGGGACATCAATCTCCCAGGTTTGATATATATCATCTACATTCCTATGATGAATGGAAGTGTTGTGGGTTCATAACCATAACAAATAGCAGTTAGCACCTGTAAATATTGAATAAGGGTTATGGCAAATTTTTCGCTGTTTGCTGGACTGTTATAGGTTATTGTACAAGCCAATAGAGTAGCTCATTAGGCCCTATATTATCAAACAATAAACAATTTCAGATACAAAACTAAATATGGATGCATACGTTATAACATTATGAGTTGGGACACTGTTTGCTCATCGTAGTTTTCTCCTCTAGATAAAATAACCTTGGTTTTATACAGTCTACAAAAGCTTTCCTGCAGTTTTCCTCTGCGTCTATATTCTATCTCTTGCGCTCTCCCTTCTGTGTGCGTTTCTTCTCTTTGTCCTTGCGCTCCTGCTTGGACAGTTTGTCTTTTTCACGTTGCATCTTGTCCTGCTCTTTCTTCTTCTGTGCATCTTCCTTGGCCTGGTCACGCTGCAGTTTGCGGCGATTCAAAACATCCTCCACATTGGTGTTTTTGAACAGGGCTGGGGCTTGCAGTAAAGGGAATAGTTCATGTAGATACAGATAAGGATTTATTCAGTGCAGATACTGCACCTGTTCTTATAAGTGCACTAGATACTCAACTACTTAAAAGGATAGTTCACCCTTTTGCTTCATTTATTCTCAGTCCATCCTAGATGTAGGTGTACCCCTCTCTTAATAAAACAATAGAACAGATTTTTTTATTGAGACTATGGCTACTCATAAAATTCTCATAAAAACACTTCCAGAGTTAAAATTATTATAATAATCTAAAAATAATAATAACTATTGTTCCTGATAATACATTCAGTTCTTATGAAGAAGTCTGTGAATCACCAAAGATCACAGTTTCAGCCAAAACTTCTTCATTCTTCAGTTACTGCACCTACATCTTGTACGGCCTGAGTGCAAGTTAATTAACAGCACGTCTTGGGGGAACTATACCTTTAAAGTCCGTGTGAAAACAAAATTGACAAAGTTTATTTTGCTATCACACATTGATGCAAGTTAATCCAATGAAAGAAAATGTTTTGGTAATCTTCAATCAAAGTCTGACCACTTGCTTCTGTGTTCGTAGTGGTGGTCCTTCTTTGATGATGTCAGTTTGGCATTTTTAGCAACAATATTCGTCACCATGCCCCTCTTACCGTTAGTTTGATGTGAGGGAATGATGAAATAAAAACACCTGCCCCCCCTACTCAATATTTCATTTCAGTTGGAAGTAAATCAACATACTGAAACAAAAGTCTCAGCATCCTCCGGATGATGAAGACTTTAAAGTGCTAGGACACATCAGCTCATTCTCGTGATCGAGATGTTCCACTAGAGAGACCTGTGAGAGATGGTGTGAAAAAGGATACATTTGTCACTGGGTATCCCCACTGGGACTTGCTCCTCCTCTTCAGCTTCAGTACAAATATTAAGGAAACTGCTTTTGCACAAGAGAGTTAGAGATGCTTTGTTCTTAACAGAGGTTCAGACACAAGAAGACAACGCAACAGCATATATGCATTAAAAGGATATTCTTCGTCGTCTGTGACATTGGCATATTGAGCAAGAACAGCCTCTTTCCTCTTCTTGGCATCTTCTGACACCTCCTTCTGTTTGACCACAATCTGTGCCTGCTTCTCTATCAGACTAGCAATGGCCTGAACTTCAGCTTAAAACAAAACAAAGCAAAGCACTATTTTTTTTTTTTTTTGGAAAAACTGGACGCTTCCCGCATAACATTGTTGTGGCTCTGCTTCTCTGAGTCTACTTCTCTGTTTAGTAACATGAGGACTCGCAAATGTCTTGGGCAACTCTACAGCAGGGATCAACCTGACAGGCTGAATATAAACACTTATTATAGACTCACTGTACATGGTTTGAAGGATGCATTACGTACTCACTCATTAAATAAACTTGTATATAAAAAAAACAGCTGAAAATAAATAAAACAGTAAAACATTGCAAGCCATGTTTTCAAGATGGCTTAAAATGTTGAAAAAGAAAATATTAAAAGTCATAAATTTTATGGTCAGGAAGATTTTTTTAAAACTGTTTTTAAAATAAGTCCTAACAAGACTGCATTTTAATAATATATGAAGAGTTCAGATGCAAAAACCTCTTTATGCCGTCCAAATTTTTTTCCTAAAATGAGCTTTTTGTTTTCAGCCTTCTATGCAGTTATTTCCTTTAAAAACAACGAAAATAACTTATTCGTTGAGCCCACAAACAGGAGTCTGAGAAAAATGCTAATATTAGAAGAAAATATGAAATAGTATTTAGAGGTTTTGCATCTAAACTCTTCATATACAGAAACATCTAATTCACTGATTTGCTAAAGAAATATTATTAAAAATGTTAAAGATTTCTGGAAACAGCACAGTATTTTTGTTAGTACGCTTTGATAAAATATAATGAAAAACATTTTAATTAGAAATGTTTTATTTTCACTTTAATGATAAAAATAATACAAAATCTTGAGTATGCATGTCTGGAATGAGTGATGTGTCTTTATTGACACTTTAAACTGACAGAATTAAACAACCACAAAAAATAAAATGTCACCACAAGCTGAATGACTGGTAGGAATGTTATATACAGTAAATGTTTATATATGTTTATTGTTAAGATTTCACAGCATGTATAGTGCATTCCGATAAACGTTATGCAATCGAGTTATAAATACTGCACATGCATAGAAGTGCACCACAATTACAGTATTATCCCAGTCAGTTCCTTTTCTAATGCCAACACTGAACTTACCATCCGCCTGATCGCTCTTTGCTGCAGATCTGCTACAGCACTCTGTCCACTGTTTCAAGATCTCTTGGCAAACCTCCTCAAGCGTCTCTTCTTCCTATCAAAATAAAGTAAACTCAGTTTATAAAATATGTCTAAAATGTTCATGCCAACGACTGTATTTTGACGATTACAGAGGGCTTAGACACCTTATTTAAATATACATATATAAATCAACATACTTTCGTTTAAAGGTATAGGTGAAGACAAATGGTATTTATTTGAGTAAATACTGTTTATAATACTGAATTTAACCTCTGACAATCGCAACAGGCGTTTGATCACCTTTCACACGTTTACTGCTCAAATGAATAAATAAAACAATTAAGGTTACGATATATTATTATCTTTTGTGTTCATAACGAGTTTGTCACAGCAGTGTTTACAGTTTACAGGATCCCAAGAGGAAATGCCACTCGCGTGAAATATCTTGACAGCTGAGGTGAGCGTGCACAGAATATGCGCGTGCACTGACCAGAAAAGCGGACAGAATGCCTTGAAGAGCGTCCTTTTGCTCTTCATCGCTCTCCTCCTCCTGAAGCACCCCAAGTATATAAGCTCCGTAAACTTCTCGGTCAACTTCAAGCGAGTCCAGCCGCTCATTCAGCCAGTTTTCAAACTCCCCGGCGATTTGTTCGGGCGCCGCCATCTTCCCTGGCTGGGGTCCTGAGAGTGAGTTGGGGTGTCCGCACAGAACGCCAGACACAAATGTGGGACCGTTGTGGGGTTGTGGGACATTCGCATGCATTTGTTTTAAATACAAAAACTTGTTTACTAATACTTCTACTTTTTGTTAATTTCTATTAGCGTTTTTCTCCTTTTTATACCATGAATAAAATTTAGCTTGTTATTCATGTACTTCATTTTCCGTGAGAAGTTGAACATTTAAATGCTCATAACTTAAGTGCATGAGGGCCTAAGGTGCGCGGCAACATGATATAATGTTGATCTTTAAAACTAAAAGCTGGCCACTAGAGGGCAATGTTTGCCAATCAACTACATAGGAGAAGCTTGAAGTCACAGGTGGATGTCCTTATCCAGGTGAAACACCGCAGGATGCTTCTGAACTGCAGGTAGGATTGATTTTTATTTTATTTTAGAAAGTGGTTAATACATGGCGTACATATTAACATTTTATTGGCTTGATGCATGAAGTGTCCTTTCACATGGGAATCATAATTGGGGCTGAACTAGTGCTATACGACTTCGATCATGCTGAGGCCTGTAATTCTTTTGGCATTTCATTATTGTAGATCAGGGGTGCGCAGTCCTGTTCCTGGAGATCTACCTTCCTACAGAGTTCAGCTCCAGCCCTGATCAACTAATTAGGACCTGAACGGCACTGGATAATTACAGACAGGTGTGTTTGATAATGGTTGCAACTGAAATCTGCAGGAAGGTACAGTAGATCTCCAGGAATAGGGTTGAGCACCCCTGTTGTAGATGAACTATGATTTGATGTAGATTACGTTTTCATGCTTAACACTGTAAAGACTGCTGGGTCATATTGTAATTTCTATAAGGTCTCTGTGGCCAACGTAAAAACGTAAACAAATTGCAAATTGTTCGTTTTATGTAATCAAGGCACCCAGTAAATGTGTTTTAGTGTAACAGTAATGTATACCCCCCCAAAAAAAATCATGTCAGGTATATTTACAGCATAAATGATGTTTTGACATTTTGAAAGACTGATGATTTCGACATAATAAGCTTCTTAGTTTTTGCATTCCATAGCAGACAGTATGTGTGTAACATTTTTGCATGTCAACCTTGCAATGAAAACAATTAAGTTTTCGCCTAAATAGCTAAACAGTTTGTGTTTTTTTGTCCAAGCTAGTGTTTTACAGTGATTTAAAAATACTTAAAATGTTTCTGTTAATGTTTTCAAACAACACACAATTATATTTGATTGACCAAAGTCACACAAGTGTCAATTTTACATCGTCACAACCGTAATTACGTCCTACGTAAAAGCGTAAATTACGTAAAAACGTCCCAAAAAACAACAAAGTACTTCACAATTACCACATAATTTTGTTTTGTACTTTTGATGGTTTACCACATAAAATACCACACACTACCACAAAAACATTACAGGAATATGACAGTAATACCACACACTCTACCACAAGAATATCACAGTAATATTGCAAATTGTATAACAGACTTATGTGGTAAATACTACCAAAATATGAAAGTGATACCACACACACCACAAGAATACTACAGGAATATTACATGATGAACAACAAAATTCTGTGGTAAATACTACAGATATATTAAAGTGATACCACACACTACCACAAGAATACTACAGGAGTATTAGATACTGTACGGCACAGAATCTTGTGGTAAAACATCCCAAAAAACAACAAAGTACTACACAGTTACCACATAATTTTTGTGTTGTACATTTGATGGTTTACCACATAAAATATTGCAGGTAATTTTTGTAAGGGAATGGAGCTTATTTCTCATAAATGCAAAAAATGTCAAATAAAATCAGTCATGTTTGTTCTATAGTGAGTCGACTCTTATCCTGTTGATTAGCATTATTTCTTTTCGTTGTGCAGTTTAATTCACAGAATTTCTACAAAGTATGTTGTATACTGTAAACTTGCAGATGCATGTTTATTTTCCTTATTTAAAATCTAAGATATGTTTACAGATTGATATTTGTCTGATCCCATAACTCTGGTTAGATGTTTTGAAAGATATAAACTTATGTTTAAAAATAATATTAACATTTACTTTCTCTGTGAATTTATGTTTTCAGTTTTTACTGCAAATGTCACATCCATACTGCTGGAATTGCTCATAAATAGATATAAATCTCAAAAGTTTTTAAAGATCACGGATCACTGTACAGCCCCAAAATACTAATAATTGTCAATTTAAAACTTTTGATTTTGCTGTGCATTATTTTTCAAACCACGTGTTTTTACCTATTAGCCAGCTTGAAGTGTTCAAATATTTAAAATAGCATTTAGTTTGATCCCTTATTATTTCTATCATTTAATAGATATGATGTTTTCATTTTACTTAAATCTGCCACTATGAATGAAGATGGTATTTGTTCTTTACTTTTTATTTCCACAAAAGCTATTTCAAACATGAATGTAGACCCTTTTACTTGCATTTACATTGTGTTTTCCTCATAAATATTTAATTATGTTTATGCTGTTTAAAAATGGGTAAAAGTTGTACAGAAATCTAAAGCTAAAATGAAAGATGGGAGTAGAGATTGCTGCATGAGGCCATTCCCAGGCATAGGGGTCCAGGGTCTCTGGTCATGATGTTGCTTGTTGCTGTGGGCTACTGTTTTAAGCACTATTTTTATCAAGGGGACGCAGATTGATGGAAAGCGACAAGAGCCAGGGGCTGTGGCAGAGCGTGCGGGTGGGCATCTACATGCTCAGGTCCAAAGGCAAACACTCGTGCTCTCTCTTTCAAAGATCTCCATCTCCCAGCACCCATCAGTGCAGCCCCTGCGGGACCAATACTGTGCGTCCTCTCTGTCAGAATCTGCATGTGACACAATCCTCCGGCCCACTTCGTGATCAGCGTGTGGTCGTGACCTCTTTCAGGGTGTCCTTAAAAAGTATTCAAATGCATTACATAGTTCCATCTGGAAATGTAAGGTGACAAAAAAATTGATATAAAATACAGTATTATTGTGGAGGAAACAATCTTATTAGGGAGACACCAAAAGGATTTTTTTTTTTTTGTCCAATACAAAAACAGATTTTTAACAACTAACAATTGGTGACTTGTCATGATACTAGATTATTGCAATAAGTGAAAATCGCCAAAATCTTGCTGTCGGACAAAGAATATTTTGTACAGATTTAATTTTGTTTGGGCATATTTTACTTTTGATTTCAGAGAAAAAAAACTGACAGAAAAATATATACTGACACAATAATGCATTTAATTTCTTTATAAACTCATTTAGAGCAAAGGTTTTGCATAAAATGTAGCTTGGTTTGTTTTAACTAAATCTTTAACCTTATTTTAGTTCAGTATTTAAATGTCAAATAAATTCAGCTAAAATAATTTAATTAATTTTGTAAAATGGGTCTTTTTTTTAATAATTTACCCCATCTTCTCTGAATAAAGGACTTGAAGGAAAAAAGGGTTTTAAGTAAAACAATACTATACACTGAACGGTTCACATGTATTAAACATGTTTTGTCATATTCTCACTGTAAAATATAAACTAAAATATGAGGATTTTGTTTAATTTCTTACAATTAGATGACCAAACTGAGCAAATGTTGTCAGATAAAGCTTAATTATTCTTATTTAATGATACTGTAGGATTCTTCATTATTTTACAAATGCTACTTGGCATTTATTTGTAATTTTTTTATCTTCTTACTATTTTCTTTAAAACATTCAAACAAGTCGGCCAGGCAGTGGTGCAGTGGGTAGTGCTGTCGCCTCACAGAATGAAGGTCGCTGGTTCGAACCTCGGCTCAGTTGACGTTTCTGTGTGGAGTTTGCATGCTCTCCCTGCCTTCGTGTGGGTTTCCTCCGGGTGCTCTGGTTTCCCCCACAGTCCAAACACATGCGGTACAGATGAATTGGGTAGGCTAAATTGTCTGTAGTTCATGAGTGTATGTGTGAATGTTTGTGTGGATGTTTCCCATGGGTTGCGGCTGGAAGGGTATCCGCTGCGTAAAAACTTGATGGATAAGTTGCCGGTTCATTCCGCTGTGGCGACCCCGGATTAATAAAGGGCCAAAGCCGACAAGAAAATGATTGAATTAATTCTAAAAAGTCTTAGTTGCTTTTATTTAATTAATCGCTCTTCTGTATAACTTATTTGTATTATTTTTCTCTATTAATCTTTTAAAATATATATTTTTATTGCTCGTGATGAAAACATGGAAGAAAGTTGTAATCGAAAACTTCTGACACTTGTCAAAAAAGCTTCTTCAATGTTCAAGAAAAGGATTAGTATGAATTTGACAGCCCTATAGTCATAAGCTACATTTCAATTAATCTATTTTTATGCACATTTTGGATATGTGCATAAAATTTCGGTTGATGGAAACGCCAAGATGTGTATAAATGTTGAAAATACGCACAAAAAAACATGGTGCATAACTGAGTAGGATAAACTGTTTATCCTATAAGAAAAGATGTGCATTAACTACGATGGAAACACTTTTACTGAACAAATTCCAGTATACGCATTGAAATGTGTGTGAATAGACAAACCAGCTGGCTGAGCAGACTGTAAAACATCTGAAATGTTGTTTTGGTCATTCTAAAACAGCTAAACCCTTTAAGTATTAGTGTTATAATATTAATAATTACGTCCAGAACTCACAAGAGTGTCTGTGCTCCTCGTCTCACACCTTCAAATGCGACATCGTGTTCATTGCATGTCGGCATTTCGCTTCTGAGGCGCAAGTATTTATTAAATGATTAAAAGATTCACACAGCTTCTTCTACCTCAGCAAATTCTGTGTTTACAGTTCCAGTTTATCAGGAAGTGATGATTTTGTTCTCTTTTACTCATTGGATGAAACGCTGCTTTATTTTCATGTCTTTTATTCAGTTTTGCGAATAAAGTTAATTCACTTTTTTTTTTTTAGTAGAAACATAGCTGTAGTTTCTAAATTTGCTTAATTACTAATATACTAATCTAATAAATTACTAAACTAATCAAG